TGGTAGTTCAGACAATTAAGTTGCTCATTAGAATTTGAAGGATAAAAATGAACTTTAAACTTGTAGTAAAAAAATAATCATCGAATATCAAATAGATGTGTTACTTTTCTATATGTAATATTTCAAGACGTTTTCTATATAAGTTTGCTTATAAACAAGAATTCATTGGCTAAACGCTCAATCTACAAGTTGAGGCAAAGTTTTATTTTTATAAGATTTTATCATGTTTTCTTTCTTTAACTAATCAGCTGCATTTGGAAGCTCTTTAGATATTACAATAATATTTAAACCACCCACTTATACACAATAATGAAAAACTATATTGATTTCTTTATGATTATAAATGGAGGTATAGGTAATTCTTGTACCTATTTTTAACAATCACTAAGATGATCATGCTACAAAAGTCCAAATAGCAAAGTATCAAAATTTTCTCGAAAAATTGAATACATCCTTCGGGCATATTAAATCGATTAGGGATTTTATGTACATATTTTTGAGTCTTGCAATATAAGTTGGTCATAAATACATTTATTTGATGTATCATATTTCATGCAATGCTAGGCTAACAAAATATCGACCTGCGATAAAATTGAAACCACAACAAAAGAAATAATCTATTTATACAAATCTTTGCGAAAGTCATTAAGTAAAATGCATTATATCTTACTATATTTTCTCATTTCCTTTCACATAAGTACTAGTGGCTTTACACCTTTGAGCTTTCAGACTTTTCTCTCGTAATTTCAATTTTGCCTTGATGACATGTTTTTAGTTTTTTATCCAATCATTTTCACATCGATATTCTTTGGTGGAATTTAATTTTACATTCTCTTTTTCACTAGTATGTTGTGTGTTATATTGTACTATAAACATGTTGTCAACCAATTGTTAATTTTTTATTTTATCTCTTTCTCCATAATGATATAATTTATTTAAATATCTACATTTTCAATATTTTCATGTGTCTGAACCTCTTTTAGAGTTTTATAGGTAGTTATTTCTATATACTCTTCATGGGCTCCTTAATGGAACCATTTTTATTATTTACTACATTTTTTTAGAGAATTTTGCTATGGATTGAACTTCATCATGCTCCAAGCATACCATAGATAACCGAATATAATCTTAATAGATTATCCTTTTAGGATGTCAACTTGTGTTGTAGCAATTTCATTTGGTATATGAGACTTGGTTAATCTTTTTCTATTAGTAAATATATCTTGCAATTGATTTATCTTTCAACCTTCTAATTCAAACTATCTTGTGTGAGTACAAGATAAAATAATGATGCATTATTTTATTCTTCTCAAATACTTGACTCCTTTGCAAAACGCTGAGAAAATTGTCTTCTTAAAGTGATAGTAAGCAAACCGTGTGTTATAAAAATCACTCGTTAGGGATTACAATGAATTCACGCAAAACATATAGGATAAAGATATTTGTCCATGGCCACATGGGCCTGGTAGGTCCAGGGCCCATGTGGCCCTTGATGTATAGCACGCCCAAAACATATATTCTCAACATTTATCATAGACTGTCTTTGTGCATGTGATAAAGCAATTTGAACTTATATTGCATAATAAAAGATTATGTGATGGTTATTGTTAGGCTCTGACCATTAGCCAACTATAACTAGGGCTGGGCAAATCTCCCGAACCGAACCGATCCGAACCCGACGGTTCTTGTCAAATTAAATACCCGAACGGGTATCTGAATTGAGAACCGACGGGTAAGGTTCGGTTCTCGGTTCTAGACCAAGAACCGAAGAACCGAATAAGAACCGAATCTTTCTATTTTTTTTATATTGAGTAAATCAAATTATTTTAATTTTAATTTTTTCTAAACAAATTAACAAATCAATGATTTCTAAATCCAAATTTTTGGCCCAATAATTTGTTTCATTTCTAATTTTTTAATTTTTGGCCCAATTACTCATTTTATTATTTCATTTCTTAGCCAAACAAGATCAAATATACTAAATAACCCTAAACACCTACAATAAAGTGCATAACGTTGTCTCGACTCTCGCACTCACTCTCGCAGCCTATCTAATATTCCAAAACCTATACAATCGTCGGCCGACACTCTGACTTCCGATCGAAGCCGTGACTTTCCCCGACTGAAACTTTGATCGTAGCGATCATTTGAACAAAATAGTTTACTAATCTCTGACATTCCAAAACTATTGAATGTATCATTAGTCGTATTTAGATAACGTTGTTATAAATGTTAAAAAATTTAATTATAGTACAGAACCGAACGGAACCGAACCGATCCGAACCGAACCGAATGGAACCGAACCCGAACGGTTCCATAATTATATTTGGACCCGACGGTTCCATTTACTAGAGACCCGAAAAGTTTGGTTCGGTTCGGTTCTAAAGAGAACCGAACCGAACCGACCCGCGCCCACCCCTAACTATAACGGAAAAACTTGATATTGACATGATGAGTGTCAATTGTTGCGCTAAAATCCCAAAAATGAATGGCATTGTGATAAATAATAAAGTGGACATGAGTCCAAGTATCGATCACACGAGGACTAGGTATTAAACTAGTTTTCAATTAAAACTAATTCTAGTTGAATAGCACAATTATGATGGCACTGATTTTATTTATTATTTGAACACAAAACTAACTAACTAATCAAGTATTAATCTAACTAATTGGTTGGGAAGCATTTATGAAAACTCATGTAATGAACAGAGCACTAGGACCTTGAATCTCCCTATATTCATCAGTTTTAATATCAATTCCATAATTTGGCAACATTTATTCAGACTTAAAATTCAATGTTCCTATTTAGTTTAATAATCTGTCACTATTAGAATTAAACATATCACCAATTACATATGACCTGAAATATTCATATTCCGAATCGGAACATATACAGATGCTTTAAATTCCAATATCATTCATTGATACCATGTAAAGCATAGACATTTATTTCTATTGTGTATATTGTTGCCATGTGCTAAATTCTTAATCATTCTCCCGAATGACAATAGAAATCACAGTTTCACAATACAAATCAATTAATGGTCAGGTACTTGAAAAGCATTAAGATCATTACAAGCACTCAAAAACAAATAAACATATAAATTTCAAACTCTAGAATTTAATATAAAAACATTAAAACATAGGGTTCATAATTATCTAAAATTTATACAATGAGCTAAGTATCATATGAATAACAAAACATGAATTGTTTCAATACAACATCACCTGAAATTGAAGTATAGAAAGAAAGATGAATAACAATCTTGAATCTTGCATCCCTTCATTGGTTCTTCAATTGTCTCTTTGAATATCCTCATTCTTCAAGCAAAGCAAGCATGTATGAAGTTTATATATAAGAATGTATTATTTCCTCCCATTCAACTTGATCCCTGAATTTTTCTTTTTGTTTAGCTCAAGTTCCATTTTGTTTGTACCATTGGTCATTCACTACTAAAAAATAGCTTTTCACCTACAGAAAATTACCAACGAATGCAATCCGTTGGTAATTAGAAATGGATTATCCATTGGTAAAAGTTATTCATTCAACTACAATAATCAACATTCGTTGGTAATTAGAAACAGATTATCCGTTGGTAAATGTTATTCACTTTTAGCTACAATAATCAACAACGGACTTTCCGTTGGTAACGATGATATCTCTTTATCAACGGATATTTCTTGCCTCATGTGACCGTTTAACATTTGGATCATTCACCTACGGATATTCCTTCGTTGATGTACCGAATATTACCACCGCATCCGTTGGTAAAAGTAATTCACTTTTAACTACGATAATCAGTAACAGATTTTCCGTTGGTAACAATGATATCTTTTTATCAACGGATATTCTGTGTCTCATGTGACTATTTAACATTTAGATCTTTCACCTACGAATATTCCGTAAGTGATGTACCGAATATTACCAACGGATGCAATAGTTAGAAACGAATTATCCGTTGGTAAAAGTAATTCACTTTCAACTACGATAATCAGCAACGATTTTTCCATTGGTAACTATGATATTTCTTTACCAACGGATATTTCGTGCCTCATGTAATCGTTTAACATTTAGATCTTTCAGCTGCGGATATTCCGTCGGTAATTAGAAACGGATTATCCGTTGGTAAAAGTAATTCACTTATCCCACATCGAAAATTCACAACAAAGTTTTCGGAGTTGCCCTCTATAAATTAATTTTGTGGTCCAATAAGTGATTAAACAATATTTTGGCCTTTCAATTAAGTTGGTTAAAAGTAAAAAAAAAAAAATTAGAATTAGTAAATAAATAATAATAACAATAATAAAAAAATAAATATTTTTTCTTTTTACCATGTCTCGCACTTATGCGGCTATTTACAATATTGATTTTTACAAATTGTAATGATAGATATTTACCAACGGAAAGTCGATTGATATTGGTTATGATTTTTACCAACGGGAATTTCGTTAGTAAAAGATTCACACTTTACCAAGGGAAAATTCGTTGGTAAAATATTTACTCTTTACCTATGGTAGGATCCGTTGGTAACTATCAACGATCCTCAAATTAGCAATGGATTTACGGTTACAAATATTCCGTTGGTAAAGAGTAATATCAACGAATATCGAGATTTCTGGAACGAAAAATCCGTGCCTGAAGCCATGTTGTTTAGTAGTGCTTCTTCTTTAAATCTTTATACTTTGATTCTCATCCTCCATAATCATCTAAAATTTAACCGATACAATTTTTTAAAGTTAGAAATTAAGTCCTGGAACTTTTCAAATATTGTATTTAGCTGCCGAAACTTCTTAATACCCTCCTATTGTTACCTAAATTCTTTTAATTGATCACGTACAGTCTGGATGGTCTTCAATTGTTCTAAATCAATTTCAATTAAGCTTCAAATAACAATTTTGTGCTCCAAAAGCATCTAAGCCGATGTTCAACAATTTTCTAGAGCCGTTTAATAAATGTTTTACTAAACCATGGGCAATAAGATGTTCTATAATTATCCCAATTAATAATCATCAAAACTGTTGGGATGTAAATTCACTAACATTATTAAGATAAATTGTCTTAATTGTGTAATCCGGAAATTATGCCAAAATATAATAAGAGCAAATAATCGCGCAATCATTATATTATTAATGTGCAATAAACATACGCATGACTCTCTAGTGGATCTATTTATTATTATTATAAAATTTCAAGGTGGTACATGGAGGGTGAGTAGGCCAACAAAGCTTGCCTTCAATTATTCCATAAATGTAGAGATCCCAACTTTATCTAGTGATCATCTAATATCCAATTTGCTCTGAGAATAAGCAAAGCAAGAATTGCATATATTGAAGACTCGTTTGGTTCTTCAATAGATACACACACGAATTCAAAATAAATAAATAATAAAAAATAAATTCCACCGTTTCGCACTTTTGGAAGAAAACACACTTTTTGTGTATTATAGTGATGTGAATTGCAATTTGTCACCATAAATAAAAATATTCATATTGATAATGTATTATAAGTAGAAAAAACAATGGAATAAGAGAACACATACTTAGATATTCAAAACTTAGGTGTGTAATTTTTTATAATAATACCTCTATGTATAGTTTGTTGGTTATTAGATTTAATAACCATGATAGGAAATTGATTTTTCTTTGAAGATTAAACCCATATGAATAAAGGATTTTAGAGCACCTTGAGATCATTGGTTTTTTTTTCCCCTCACACATAAAGGGGAGAGGATAATTTTGAAAGAGCTTTTAATCGCTTAACTAATTGCTTCCTCCCTTATACTCCTTGAATTTCTCCAAAACTTCATATTTGTGAGATATAATGTATATATATATCCAAATCTAGAGTAATCATCTATGAATGTGATGAAGTACTTACATCCTTCCCCAGCCCGAGTACTAATGGATCCACAAACATCGGAATGTACCAATTCCAAAACTTCTTTAGCTCTTAGTCCCTTAGCCTTAAAAGGCATCTTGGTCATCTTTCCTTCTATACAAAATTCACAAGTTAGTATGGATTCCTCCTCTAACGCATTTAAAGGTCCATCATTTACCAATCTTTGAATCCTATTTAGATTAATATGACCCAACCTAAGATGCCATAAGAGAGTTTCATTAGTACTAGATGACATCTTTCTTTTCCTAGCAATAGTAATGTTATGTATAGAGCCAATCATATGACTTAAGACATAGAGACCATTAACCATATGACCCAAACATATAATAGAATTATTCAACTAAATAACCACCGTGGAATGGGTAAAAAGTGTCGAATAACCAACACGATATAAAAGTGCAATGAAAATCAAGTTTCATGTAAGTTCGGGAACATAATAACAGTCATCCAAGATCAAATGTTTATGATTTTCAAAATTGCAAATAAAAACGCCAACAGCTTTAGCAAACATTGCTGCTCATGTGCCAATTCTAAGAGTGTACTCCCCTTCACTGAGGTGCTTGGTTTCTTAGAATTGCAAATATAATTAGTGGCACTAGAATTTATGATCCAGGTATTAGTAGAATTAACTACTAAGTATGACTCAATGAATAGGGCACTACCTTTACCTTGCTTCTCATTAGCTAGGTGATCTGGGCAATTCCTATTCCAATGACTCTTTTGTCCACAGGAAAAATACTTTCCCTTTGGGTTCTCATCGTCAGTAGTTTTCTTTGCTTTTGACTTGCTATTTTGCTTTTTGTTTGGCATTTTCCTCTTATTTTCTTCTTTGGCACTAGAAGGTTTAGGATGAGAGGGTTTGCCTGTTACAGTCAAAGCACTTCCACTTCTGGCTTTCAGAATAGTTTTAGCATTTTAGAGCTCTTTCATTATTTCCATCGGAGACATGTCCATCTTGTGTGGATTACAATTAACTATAAACTGTAAGAACATCTTAGAAAGAATCTCAAGAACCATGTCAATTTATGTCTCGAAATCAATGTCAGCGCCTAAAACCTCTGCAACATTGAAGTGACCAATCATAATTAACATATGGCCTTTCATAGAAGTGCATGTTTTCATGTATGTGTTCATAATTGCCTTAATGGAGGCTTGCCTAGCTTGTCTGTTTTGATGTCCAAACATCTCTTGAAGATTTTTCATTATGTCAAAAGTAGTTTCCAAGCTTTGAGATTCCGATGAATCATCTTTAGGGGCTTTTGGGCAATCTTCAATCAGTACAAAATTGTGTTTTTCAACGGCAAGAATAATGTTAAGATTCATTTTTCAGTCAATATAGTTTTTTTCCCACAAGTTGGTTTTTGTTAAGCACCACTAATAATGATAAGGGTGGCAAAAAGTCTAAGTCATTCGTCGACTCAACTCATTAAAGCTCAACACATGGATGGCCAAAATGAGCCCAAGCTCGAGCCAAATAAAGCTCGACTGGTCCAGCTCCCGAACCCACAAGCTTAAAGTTCACAAAAGCTCGTAGGCTCGTAAAAAATGTGAACCAAAAAGTCAAAAAATTTTAAAAATAAAAAGAAAAATGTTGAGCTTATGGGCTTGACTCGACTAGGCTCGGCTCGTAAGCTCACGTGCTCGTAGGCTAAACTGAGCTCTATCCTTGAGCACAACTTGGGCTTGAGCTCGGCTTGTCACTTTAACGAGCCGAGCTAGTGGGTAGTTGGCTTGGCCCATTGCTATCACTAGATAATGGATGTATATGAGTATGCAAATAATCTTTATATGATGCATGTATATGAGTATGCAAATATAGTTCCAAAACTATATTTTCAACCAAAGATCTTAAACCCTTACAACTTTTAACACGCTCTTTATAGGATGTCAATGTAGTTGTTGACAAAGTTGGAACCCTCCCACTCATTTTATTGAGCTAGGCATCACGTGACACAATAAAAATGATGATTGATTATTATTTGGCCTATGAAAATTTTTTGTTGTAACCTTTTATTGGAAGTCCTCGGTCAATAATTTTTAAAATATTCAAAAGATATGATATGTCATCTATAGTATAATCATCACATTATTCCACTTTAAAAACATTTTATTATAAGATCCAATTTCAGTTATCTAAAATAACATAGTCTTCCTATAGGGGCTGATGTAATACAATACTAAATATACGTATTTTAATAATAAATTGGATAACAAAGGAGGCTGCAGGTTTATACATGCTTATAAATCCTCTCCCACTTATTATTTTGAACTGTTGGGTTTTCATTTAATAATTAATGTACCAAATATAAACAATTATAATGGCACTAAATTATTAAATATAATATTTTTAACAACTAATTAATTTAGAGTGATGAAAAAATATCTACTACCAATGCAAATGATTTTAATGCACTGGGTGGTATTTCATTTAATTTACAAGACATGTAATAATCATATATTCATTCACCATTCATAAAGCGACAGAAGTAATAAATAAATGAACTATAATTACTTATGGTACATCCTAAGAATTTAAACTACAATATAGATTAAAGCATTCCATTGGGCCACATTCTAATCCAATTCTTCTATCTCTTTGTAGTCCAACCCATGCAATGTCTAAAAATTTGGGTGAATTTAATTTTTATTCTGAATCCTTAAAACAAAAAAGCCCTTATCCAACAAGATTGACCTAAGTCTCAAAGGAAATCCCAAAAACTCAAAATTAACAAACTCTAGCATCCTCCATGTTTCAACCTTCACTAGCCTTCTGTGACAACGGCACCGACAGCGATCATCCCAAAAGAGGCCACCACTGTCGTTAGACTACAAGCCACCACGACTACTATTGTATTTGGCAATAGTGGTTGCCTTCGCTCCGTCATGGTGGCCACACCGCTACTTTCAACAACCTTACATGGTTTTGCATCTTGTTAATCTCTATCTCCTTCCATTTCTCAAACAATAACCAGCAACAAAATCCATCATCTTCTCCTTGATAAATAAGTGTAGAAATTAAAAAATATATATACACAAAAACTTAGTGCCTTATGACTTACAAATTTTATAGAGAAAAGAACAAAAAATGAATTACGATGGAAAGCAAAAAAAAAGTTCTAAGGCAAAAAATGACTATATATAAACATCTACTTCAAACATATAAAGCAATAAACATGTCAAATCAAATAACCTAACACCACCCATACTGAAAGTGCATTTTAAGTTAGGATTTAAAGAACTTAATCTTACTCAAGGCTCTCAATAACCTTGGCTCTGATATCATCTGTTGGATTTTCGATTTAATCATCATAATAGGAAATTAATTTTATTTTGAAGATTAAACTCATAGGAATAAAGGATTTTAGATTACTTTTAGATCATTGGATGTTTTTAAATACTCACACATAAACGAAAGATGATAATCTTGAAGGAGCTTTTAATGGTTTAGCAAATTGCTTCCTTCCTTAGTCTTTTCCCTTGTGTTCCTTTAGGTGCCTCCCTCTTTTTTGGGAAATGAAATGTGGCTAATGCTAAAAACCATATGAAAATGTGCCTATAAATGACATATTTATGATACTCAATTAGGGTTTGAAAATTGCACAATTTTCTTTGGATTTTATTGTAGTAGACCAATTAAGTCACACACATTTATTGAACCAAGAGATGGATCTAATTGGACTTACATGACTTAAGCTTCAATATAATGTTTCTAATTAGGTTAACTCTTGATCAATTGAGATACATCTATTAATCCTGGCTCATTCTACCAAAAATCGAGATTGCACTCTCGAGTTGAATGACAGTTATAGAAGCAAATTATGATCCGATAATAATATCCTTTGATCATTATTCCACAAGTCAACCCCCATTTAACCATTAATATGTTGAAAATGACAAAATGACCGTTTTGCCCTTCAACATATAATATCCTCTAAGTTCTATTTTCATAAGTTGTGATCAGATCACAATATAAAGTCCAACGATCTCATTATCGAACTACCAAACTCAGGTTAAATTTGTCTATGGAAAATACCTTAGAGTTATGATCGTTCATCTTGATGATTGATGGATTCTACTATCGCAAATATATAATCTCTAATTGTTTTGGCCCGATACTCAAAGTTCCGAGATCAATCTTCTAATTAAGACTTCACTCATTTGTGCCTCGAAGAACTTGAACTAGCAATCAAAGGTATATTACTCGCTCAGGATTTAGGTGACTTGTTTTTTTAATCGAGTAGAGTTTCATTTCGAGTGGTCACAAATGAGTCATCTATGTAGTCCTGTTCAATGTGCATCAAAAATATATTATTGTTCTTATTCTAAAATCTAGACATATTGTAATAAGAACAATACAATTTTATCAACATAAAGCGTCCAACTATATGTACTGATTGTGAACGACATATTTTTATTTTATCACATCACTAATTGTGTCTTATTATACCCGAACCATCGAGTATACAATTTGTGACATCTTATATGATCATGGAACCTTAGATAATCATTTCAAATTGTAACACGCGAATAATAGAATGTTAATTCATAATGTTGTTTTATAAAATATTACTCGAAAAGGACATCAAACTAACATAGTGTTTCAACAAGGTTAGAACATTTCCAACAGACTCACTAAATATAACATGCTCTTTCTTTTAAAAAGCTAGTACTTTAAATAAGTTCCAAGAGACTCTCCAAATTTAGAAAGCTAAATTTACTCTCAATTCTTAATGAACAATGATTGTATTGAATAAGTCACAAATTTTAATACTCTATTTTTTTAATTATTCAAACCATATTTAAATTGACTGGCTATTGACATATAAAAAATTATGTTAAATAAAACATGAGGAGAAATGAATATAATGTTTCTTGAGAAAAAAAATGAAATGACAAAATAGAGAGCATTGTTGGAGTGCATAAAATTTTTTATTCTCTAAATTTAAAAATACTCTAAATAATGCATAAGATGCTCTTTATAAACAAGTTTCTTGAAAATACTTTTACAATCTGAATTGAATACACTTTTCTAGAATAAGGGCTCGTTTGGCAAAACTTATAATTTTTCTTTCGGTTTTTTAAAATTGTTTCCAAGAAAAACTATCTTAGGCTAACTTTTTCTGAAAGGTTTTCTAACAAGACAAAGTACTTTTAAAAAATTATTTAAAAATATTCAAAAACGTTTTATTTATCTCGTAAACAACTTTTACTTTTAAAAGTCATGTCTAAGAGGCCTTAAATAAAAAAAGGTCATATAGACTTCTAGATAAGAAAACTATTCATTTATCACAATCTATTCTTATACAACAA